ATTGTCTCTAAATGTGAAGAAGTAGCTAAAGGGTGGAATTAAAAACTAGAAAGAGGACTTACCCGAAAGGAAATCTTCAAATCCTAATTCTCCAATCCGCGATTTTCAAGCTCCAAACGTTTCCTTCACAAAAAACACACAAGTTAAAGAACCAAAATAATTAAAACCTACTTAAGCACCTTCCCCGGCAACGGCGCCAAAAACTTGATGCGGCATAAACATGTACCAAAAAGGTTGCAAGTGCACAACCGTGTCAAGTTATAGTATTTAAGATATCGATCCCACGAGGAAGGTGTTTTGTAGGAGAAAATATAAAATCGGTTCTTATGTTGTGTGCGTGACAAATAAGATTGATGGGTGAATGTTATTGTGAAGAGATTGAGAGAGTGAAAGTGGTGTGTAAATAGGTGCAAAGTGTAAATGAGAGTGAGTATGAACAATAAGGTGAGAAGGAAAAATGAATAAAATCAAGAAACAAATAAAAAATTCAAGAATGAAGAACAAAATTCTAGAATAAAAGAAAATGCAAGAAATTAAAGATGGTGGATTCAATTATAGATATGGATAATCTAAAATTGAACCCACTTCTTAGAAAAGGGTGATTCCCTAGAGGGTTCTAGCCTAAAGGCGAATCAAACAAAATGAAAAATAAACAAAAAAAAAACTAAACCCAAGAGGGTTCTAGCCTCAAGGTGAATAGTGTAAGAAATTAAAATCTAACTACAAAATAAATTACAAAATCTAAACTACAAAATAAAATTATAAGAATTAAATGTAAGAAAATAAATCTATTCTATAAGCATGAAATAAATCTAAAGCAAGAGGATTCTAGCCTCTTGGCTATTTAACAAGAAAATAAAATCTAACTACAAGCATAGAAATAAATCTAAACTAATAAGCAATAAAAAAGAAATAAAAGAGAAAAAAGGAAGAAATGCAAACCTTCAAATAATTCTTCATTTTCATCTTCATCTTCATCATCCAACAAAGAGAAGAAGAAGAAAATTTTAAAGTGGTGAAAAAATTATTATTATCAATTGCAACAAAAAGTTACAATTTTAGAAGGCCTTCTCAATTAAGAGTAGCCCTCCTCTCTAAAAGGAGTTACAAAAAATTTCACACCTCTAACCCCTCACTCTCTACCCCTATTTATAGTAAACATCAGTGAATGAGAGCCATTGGATTGAAATCTTATCTAAAAACAACAAATTTCAGCCTTAGATTCGTAACTAACTGCCCAGTATATCGATGCAGGCATCGATGCTGGCATCGATGCCCCCATCGATGCAGGCATCGATGCCTGCCCTTCTCCTTTTGCTGTCCGCAGATTCTTCTTGTTATTTTCTTTTGGGCTTTGGACATTGGCTTTTCTTGGACTCTTAGGCATGGGCTTTGATTTATTTCTTCATTAAATACTTGAAAGAATTCATTGGGCTTCATGGCTTCATTTCTTCATTAAATCAAGAGCTTTTTATTGAGAGATTGGAGTTTGAGATTTATTCTTCATTAACCTGTAATTAAAGATAAGAACAATTATTAGTAGTATATTTATTCATATAAAATAGATAATGAGGGTATAAAATTGTAATAAAATGTGATTATCAAAGCTCAAGCTGAAGGCCGACGAGGAGGTCGTTGCCACCGAGATCTCATCCCCTGCAGATAGAGACAGCAAGCGATTGAATACTGAGATGTTCATATTTGCATTCATTTAAAATTTTCGAATTCAAATGCAAACTCAAATATCATTCTCTGAATTTCTTAGAGTTGGAATCTGGTCACAGATATTTTCTGAATATATATTCTCGAACATTTATCTAATATTACAGTATACTTATTTGATTAATAATTTATTGTTTAAAAATATTATACTGTTTAGTTAGCATACTTTTATATTTGGCTAAATAAATACTTTTATTTTATTTATTCAATTTTAAATAGCATTTAAATTCATAATTGAAAACTAACTATTTATTTATGAGCATGATCCATCAATCTGTAATTTGAATATTTCATTAAAAAGCTGACATATGTGTCTTTAAGTTTATCAAATTTATTACGGAATTTGGATTTTACAAAATGTAAATGAGTCAAAAACATAACATCATATGCACGCAACAATGCAGACTATATAAGAGATGAATCCTAGCTAGACTAACCTTCGATAATCAAACGAACTAAAGATCATTTGGTTATTTTTTATTTCTTTAGTAGCTAAATATTAAAATTAAAAAAAAGGGAAAGATGTGTCCAGGCCCCAAAAACAGAAACTTCATGTGCTGCAGCC